TGTCAATAGCTTGGCTCTATATTGATTTACTTACGGTGTCAATAGATTGGCTCTATATTGATTTACTTACGGTGTCAATAGCTTGGCTCTATACTCTACACTTGGCAGCTGTACATCGGAGTTTTGCTCTTTCTATCCAGCAACCAGCACCATCAACGATTTGTCTATCCACATGCAAAGCCGTACTCCAGAGCAGGTCCACGGCCCTGTCTCCGTGAAAGCCGGCACGGCGCGGCAGACAAAGACGACGGAGGAGAGAGTTCCACGGAGAGGCTGACTATGACTAATGCCCAGTGTTCATTGTCCCCTTTGAGGATGCCTCTGTTTCCAACCCCATTCCCCACCCTTATCCCCCCCCCACTCCCGATGCCCCCCACAGGGTGTCAACGGTCCCAACAGAGAGGGTAACCTGACCGTCCCTAACGTCGTGACAACTGTCTTAAGTGCACACCACCCCCCCCGCTCGCCTCCAACCCACTCACCCCCCACCCCCACACACACACACTGTCGGCCTACACTGGAAGCTATCGTTGTTTGGCATCTTAGTTTCCCAGTCCCAACAGAGAGGGTAACCTGACCGTCCCTAACGTCGTGACAGCTGTCTTAAGTGCACACCACCCCCACCGCTCGCCTCCAACCCACTCACCCCCCCCCCCCACACACACACACTGTCGGCCTACACTGGAAGCTATCGTTGTTTGGCATCTTAGTTTCCCCCCTTGCGCACTGGTGCCAATCTCGTGTCTTCATGAGGTGTCGCCTCTGACACCACGTCTCAGATGTTTGATAAGATGCTTCTCGAACCTTGACCGTGCACAGCAGCGCCAGGGCCGAATGCTTAAATCCTTTTTTTAACCTGGAGCCGAATGGGCTTCAACCCAAAATACAACACCAACAATTATAACAGATCTGATCAAACTTTTTAACATATTTATTTTTTTTAAAGTAATCAACACATTTTTAAGAAGATTCATCCTTTGCAAGTCTTTACAATAAAAATCATTAGTAGAAATTAATGAGATGGAATTGATTAACAAAAAAAAAACAAACAAAAAATAGAAGACAGACTCAGAGATTATTAACTTACCAGATGTCATCACACGCCAGGCCCCACCCCTCTCACAGCTTCACAAGCTGCGACACGCACACATCCGAATGAAAAACACACGCACACACACGCATTAAAGGCTAAAACATAACACAAACACACACACACACCGTGTTATACTCACCCATGAAACTGAGACACACAAACACACACTGTACGACTTACACGTAAAACTAAACACACACACAGACAGACGCACGCTAACTGATTCACACACATCCTTATAAACATGCATGACTGAACCTTCCCCACTTGGTCCCCAGACATCCCAACTCTTGTTAATCACATCTCCCCCTCCTCTTACACCCCTCCTCCTCTCTCTCTCTCTCTCTCTCTGTGTGTCAAACTCTCCCAATACCTCTCTGTCTCTCCGATCCCATTCCATTTTACAGTTGACATTTCAAAAGTGGTTTCAAAACTCGCTGCGGCCATTTCTCAAGCGTGAAGACCGCCCCGCCCCTCTCACCCGCCCTGGCACGCGACAGCCCCACCCCTCTCACCCCCTGGCACGCGACAAGTAATAATTTCTCTTTGTTACCTCGAAGCAATTTTTTTTAAAAATATAAACGGCTACCCAGCCCTCTCCTCCCCTTTAAATGCAATACATCTTGTTTTTCTTAGCAAACACATTATTTTAAAATATCAGGTCCCGCGTCTGTTCAAGTTCGCTGGAGATCCTTTTGCAACGTCCATGAATATTTCAATGAATATGATGCTAATGTATGCACATTCGTTAATGAAGATGCAAATAGCACACTGGCTGTGAGAGAGCTAGGACAGATGACGCAACATGCTTGAGGACACCATGGAGATATTGCCATATCTTGTAACTATTATTTTGCCAGTTCCAGCAGTTTAAAACCATAAGACACATTCGAAATGGCGCTTGTTCCATCGAAATATGTACGCGAACTTCGGAATATGACGTCAATTATTATTTATTTCCATGAGATAAAATAATATTCTCGATCGATCCAAAGAAATGGAAAAAATGTTTTTAATTCCATTGTGCATTACGGTGCTCATTTCCGGGCACATAAATAAATGCTAATTTAAACCTTGACACAATGGGAGTCGCTTAGTCGATTGATTTGTCACGTGATGAGAGTAAAAACGAGTAAGACTTCCTGTAGGCTGTATACAACACACTAGTGCTTGACAACAGTAGCCCGTTACACACTACAACTAGAAATTCAAGATGCCTAGGCAATGTTCGGCTTTTGGCTGTTCAAACAGTCAAGTTAAGGACAGCGGTATAAGTCTGCATGAGTTTCCACTTAAGGATAAAGAAAATTTAAGACAATGCCTTGACAAAGTGGACCTTCGTTAATTATTTACATTAAATCTTGTTCCAACCGGTTATTAAAATATTCCTTCGCCGCACCAATATTGAATAAACACGCAAATGACGTCCTGGGTACGCACGGAGCTCAACAACAGCCTGCCGATGATAGTATTGATAGTTCCCATCGAATATTTATTTACTACAAATTTTTCTTGAAATAACTTTCTTCCTTTAATCATAACTGACGTATATTTATTGTCACATTTATGCATTTCATTTAAAAAACGCATGTATTCCAGAATATTTTGAAAGGTAAAATTTTTAAGTAACATGACATTGGGGAAGCACTGAGGAAGTATCTTTTGTTGTGTGTAGCAGCCTAGTGATGGCTTACTCTCATCACGTGACCAAACAAGGAAGTGACTAAGCGACTCCCATTGAAACACAAGACATCTAAAGTATTTCTCTAGCGTAGAAATCAGCCATCAATGAATTCCTGGGGTGAAAATGATGACGTAATTGCTGAGAAATTTGACCTGAAGAAACTCGCAGTGTTGTACTTTCTAAGACCACAACGCCCCCCCCCCCACCCCAACTTTTTTTTCTGGTAGTCTTTCTACACCAGAGATGACACAAGGCCATGTCGTAATGATGAGGCTTCGTTAAGATTTCGAGACAATACGAGAATACATCATGCGATAGTGATGAGCATATGTTATGATGCCGAGACTACACGAGACAACGCCATCTCTTATATATATATATATATATTATTTATAT